AGGAAGGGTCTCTTGGGATTTCCTCTGTGTTCTTAGTGAAAAAGAAAGCATGGTCATCAGCTGAGAATGACAAAAAGGGGATTTGAAGAGAGAGGAAAAACATATGAAATAGTCCTCTAGGAGAGAAGGTGCTGGGTGGACCAGGAATCTATAGACTCTGTGCAGGGGAGCCTTAAAGCTTCTTGAGGTTGGTTGTCATGAGTTTCAGGTGAGACAGGACAACACAGCTATATGTTTTTCTCCAGCCAAGCTGAGCTTTGTAGATGCCAGGCAGACAGAGATTTCACCAGCTGGGGTGTTGCTAGGCATATGTAATGAAAGGGGGTGGATGGGCATATAAATATTTAAAGAGATCGGCCAAGGATTCAAGCTGGGTACACAGGCTTGAATGGATGAACTCGTGGGTGACAGATGTGGAAACGAGGCATGATCTTGGCTAACAGGCTCAGTCAGCCTGAAGATTTATTGGAAGGGTACGTGGAGAAAGTCATTATTTCAATAGGCTCTCTGGTCTACCAGAGCTTAATGAAAGTACTTTCCAAATTCAAACTGAAACAGAATTCTCTATGTCTTCCCCCAACCCGTCCTGGTCCTCTGCACCAAGTTAAAACATGGCATGGAGGAAGGTAACTCCCATGCTTTCTCTGACCTTCTCTTGTCCAGGCTAAATGTCTCCAGCCCCTTTGACACTTCTCAAGGGACATGAGCTCCAGTATCCTCATCACCCTACCATTCCTCCTTGTATTTGGTCTTTTGTTCCCCCTGAGAGCTGATAACTTTCTGGTTTCACGGGGAACATTCTACACTATTGGAGAAGCTCTAAACAATGAATCAAGCATCCCAGATGGAGTTCTGGGGGGCACTGGAGTTCTGCTTTCAGAATTAATCTCACTTGCTTCTGTTGCTGTTTGTCCACAGGAAACAAATGGAAGCAATGATTAAAGTCCTGCTCTGAAGGCCAGTGAGTCAGCTTTGCAAAGGATTTGCACATGTTTTCATCAAACAATCCTGTCAGGCTGAGGGTTATTTTGGGAAGGAATATATTAATATGATAAACTTGCCCAGAGAGTGTGCAGTCCCATTTGCAAATGTTTCAAGTCAGACTTTCATGTAATTTTAACATTCTCACAAAACTTTCATGCAATTTTAACATTAGCACAAAATACACCGTCATGTACAAAGCAAGGGTTCAGACCAAAGCCTCTGGAGGCATCCTCGGCTCCTCTGTGTCTCTCCATCTCTGTCCAGTCCATCAGCAAATCTCACCAACTCAGTCTTCAAAATATGGTAGGATCTGACCACTTCTTGCTACCCACACTGCTCCCAGCCTGGTCCAAATCACTACCAGTGGTTGCCTAAGCTGTTGTGGTAGCTCCCCAGTTGGTCTCCCTGCATTCATACTTGCCCCCCACAGTCCAGGAGCAAAAGAGAAGATTGAGGGGTCTTGTTCAAGTATTAGTCAGCCAGTGTCATTCCTCTCCTTGGAATCTCCCAGTGGCTGCCATTTCCCCCACAGTGGAAACCCTAGTTCTCATGGTGGCATAGAAGACTCTCTGAGCCCCTCATTTTTCTTCTCCACTTTCACCTTCTACTGCCTGCTCCCTGGCTCCCCGCTGCCTCCAGCCAGGCTGGCCTTACTGATGTTTCTTTCTTTTTCTTTTGTTTTTGTTTGTGTTTGTTTTTGAGATGGAGTCCCACTCTGTCACCCAGGCTGGAGTGCAATGGCATGATCTCAGCTCACTGCAACCTCTGCCTCCTTGGTTCAAGTGATTCTCCTGTCCCAGCCTCCTAAGTAGCTGGGAATACAGGCATGCACCACCACACCCGGCTAATTTTTGTATTTTTAGTAGAGATGGGGTTTCACCATGTTGGCCAGTCTGATCACGAACTCCTGACCTCAGGTGATCCGCCCACCTGGTCGCAGATGTTTCTGTAACAGGCCAAGCCTGCCTCCACGTAGCACTGTGCCTGGAGTGCTGCTCTCAGATACTCATGTGGCCCCTTTAATCTCCTCCTTCATGTCCGTGTTCAGCTGTCATGTCTCAGGGAGGCCCTCCCCGTCCATGTGTGTGAAACCACACCCTCTTCTCTGCTTCAGTTGTCTCTACAGCATCTATCACCATCTGACATGCTGCATTTTTTTTACTTGTTTATTGGGAAGAACATAAGATCAGGGACTATATTGTGATGATTGTTATATGCCAGGACCTGGAATGGTGTTCAACGGCCAGGTCATACTCGCATGTGTATTGAATGAATCAGTGTTAGTTGAACGAATCAATGACTGTTGAAAGAATGAATGGCTATGAATAAATTTGACAGTTACCATTGCAAGTAGCTTAGTATCATGGTTACTAGAATGCTGGATCTTCCATTTAATAGCAAAGTTAAGACCAAGGTACTTAACTTTGAGATATGTTTCCCCATGTGTGGGGTAACAAGGTCACTGAACTCATGGGGTAACTTTGGACAATGTGTAGAAAGTACTCAAAACAGTACCTAGCCTGACTTAAACACTTAGTGAATGTTAGCTATTACCATTGGTTATTTAAAATATATTTAATTTCTTGAGGTCCCAAATATGTTTCAGGTGCCATCTTATTCACTTTACATAGATTATTTAATTCTAATTCTCCTGGGGGCCTTACAAGGTAGACATTATTTTATCCATTTTACAGGTAAGGAAAGCAAAGCTCAGAGAGTATAAGAAACCTGGCCAAAGTCATTCAATTAGAGTATGGCTGGGCTGTCCAAGCAGGGACACTGTTGGAGGTGGATTCAGGAAAACATTTGTCCTGCCCAGAAACTTAGAAGTTGAATTGAGACTAAGGACAGACCAGAGGTTGGCCACGTGGAGGAAGCCCAGGTCAACATGCCTTGCCTTCCAGAATTTATTTCTGTGGATTTTTGTTTTGTTTTGTTTTTGATTTTGAGTCAGAATCTCCCTCTCTTCACCCAGGCTGCAGTGCAGTAGTGCAATTCATGGCTCATTGCAGTCTCCACTTCCCCAGGCTTAGGTGATCCTCCCATCTCAGCCTCCTGAGTAGCCAGGACTACCTGGGACTACAGGCATGTGCCACCACACCTGGGTATTTTGTCTATCATTTTGTAGAGATGGGGTGTTGCCATGTTTTCTGGGCTGGTCTCTAATTCCTGGGCTCAAGTGATTCACCCACCTCAGCCTCCCAAAGTGCTGCGATTACAGGTGTGAGCCAGCATGCTTGACCTATTACTTAGTTTATGCAGCAAATCTGTTTGGGGCACCTGCATGTGCCAGGAACTGGGTTAGTGGCTGGGGCTACAGTGACAAGACAAAATCTTTGTCCTCATGGAGCTTATATTCTAGAGGGAAAAGATGAACAATGAACATGAAAATAAATTATAGAATAACTTCATATGCTGTTGAGGATGTGAAGAAAATAGAATTGGGTGACGGGATTGAGGGGAAGGGGCTCTGCATTTGGGAGCAGCCATCAGACAGAGTGTCAGGAGGTGACATGGGAGCTGGAACCCTGGTGAGATAAGTCAGTGATGCCATGAGCAGAGGGGATGGCAGGGACAAGGGCCATGAGTCGGGAGCCAGCCTGGTGCACCCAGGGGACCATGAAAAGCCTGATGAGTTTGGAGTTGGCAAGATTGGTGTGATTGGTAATGAATGAGCTGATGGTGGCCGGACCACAGCCACGCTGGGGGACTGGAGATGGGAGCCGTGGTTTGATTTGCGATGTATTCTGGAAGTAGTGCAGCCAGCGCTCAGTGATGGATTGGATATGGGTTGTTGAGAAAATAAAGGATGTAAATATCATTCCCAGGTTTTTGGCCTAAGTCACTCAGAAGACAGAGGCTTCATTTACTCAGATGGAAAGGCTGTGGAGAGAAGAGTCTGGGTGCGCGTGGCCAGGGCTGGTTAGTAGTGGGGGTCCAGGAGTTCTGTTTTGGACATGCTTGGTTTGAGAAACCTCCTAGTCTTCCAAGTGGAAGTGTCCAGGAGGCAGTTAAATATGTGAGTCTGGAGTTGAGAGAAGAGTCCGGGTCAGGGATACAGGTGGGATTTGTCATCACCTGAGATAATGAAACCACCAGGGAGGGCATATAGAGAGAAATGTGACTAGAGAGATGGTTGGAGCTCTGGGACACCCCAAGGTTGAGGGGTGAGGACAAACCAGCCTAAACACAGGAGAGGCTGGGAGAGAGAAAACAGGGGAGGGAGGGACACCAGATGTCCAGAGAAGACTGAGTTTCAACAGAGGGGGAGTGGTCCACACATCACATGCTGGGGCCACGTTTATGGAGGAGTCTCACTTGGAGGGGAGCAGAGGCAAGGGCCAGCAGCTGTGAGGAATGAGGGCCAGGAAAGACAGTACTGAGATGCATTTGTGCAGGGATAACTGAGTGGAGAGGGAAGAAATTCCTTTTTTATTATTTTTTATTTTAAAACAGACTGGAGTGCAGTGGTGTAATCACGGCTCACTGTAGCCTTCACCTCCCAGGCTCAAGCAATCCTCCCACCTCAGCCTCCCGAGTAGCTGGGATTACAGGTATGCACCACCACATCAGGCTAATTTTTCTTTTTCTTTCTTTCTTTCCTTTTTTTTTTTTTTTTTTTTTTTTTGGTAGAGACAGGGTCTCACTATGTTGCCCAGGCTGGTCTCAAACTCCTGGGCTCAAACAACCTCCCACCTTGCCCTCTCAAAGCGCTGGGATTACAAGTGTGAGCCACTTCACCTAGCTGGAAGGAATTCTTTTCTATCTGTCTCTCTATCTGTCTATCTATCTATCTGTCTATCTGTCTATCTATCTATCTATCTATCTATCTATATGTCTCTATCATCTATCTCTCTCTGTCTACTATCCATCTGCTATCTATCTCTCTCTACATATCTATGCATCTACAATCTATCATCATCTATCTATCTCTGTATACTATCTATCTACTATCTATCTATCATCTATCTATCTATCTATCTATCTATCTATCTGCTATCTATCTATCTATTTAGTGGGGTGGAGGCTACCTGGGAAGGAAGAGGTGAGACCCAGTGCAGGAGAAGACTGACACGCCTTGGCCCAGAGCAGGGAGAGCTCATCCAGGTGCAGGTGGGCAGGTGAGTTTGGAGTGGCTGCAGGAGATCACCCTCAGCTGATAACAGCCTTTCCCACCCCCTCTGTGAATTGATTATTAACACTGACAGGTTCCGGTGTCAAAGGTGAAAGGAGACAGTCTGTGCAGCAGCTGTCAGCTTTGTCACCCTATCCCAAAGGTTTCACACTGAGTCTGTACTAGGGAGTGCAAGCCTGAAGGGGTGGGTCCAAGAATCTAGATATTTGTAAGTGTTTAGTAAATCCAGTAAGCAGTCAGGCTTCAGAGTGCCTCAGAGGGGCTCACATTACCCTTAAGGTCATGAGAAATATTATTTGAGTATCCAACGTCCAGGTTGCCTGTCGTAGGGCAGTGGAGAAGGTGTACGGGATTAGGGGGTCGAGTTCTGATTTCTCGCCAGCCCTTTATTCTCACTGTCTACAGATTAAAGAACACACCATTTTGCCCAACCTCCAAGAACCCTCAGAATCCAGCCACTGCTTTCCTCTCCTGCCTGGCCTATCTCAACAGTCTTGCCACAAAGTTTTCTTACCCCAGAATCTACACCAATGAAGATTTTCCCTGGGAGGCCTCAGTGGGTAGAACGGAGACCCACAGACCCACAGATGGGAGGTATGGGGAGAATATTTTGGCTTATCCTGAAAAATTGTTTTTAAAAAAATATTTTGCAGTCAGTCTGCTCCTGCCCCTGGGATGGGGGGTGAAAGAGAGAGGCAGCATTTCTGGAGCTCAAAGCTAGGGCCACGCAGTGGAGGGGGCAGGGGGCAGGGACCACAGAGAGAAGGCTGGAGCCATAGAGGAGCTGCACCTGCGATGGTCACAGAGGGCGGGAGTGGGGAACCTTGCTTCTCCCTGTCCAGGCCCTCCAGGAAGGTCTCTTCTTGGCCAAGCCCCCACCCCCAGGAAGCCAGAACCTATTAAGAGTGGCCAATCCTACTGGGGATTCCTCCTAAGAAGCCAGAAGGCAGTGGATTCATGGTGTGCAGTTCCCTTTGAAACAGAGCGGGGACTGGAGAACAAGTAGGCAGGAGATGCACGGGTCCAGGTGTACAAGCTCATAGCCTCGATGCCTTTACTTCCACAAGTCAGAGTTGCTTGTTAATAAGCTTTTGTGGGACAATTTATCTGATGCTTGTGTTCCTAATTAGACTGTGAAGTCCATGAGGTGAGAACAGGAATGACTCCCTTTTCCCAGCGGAATAACCAGGGTCTGACACTGACTGTTTGCTGACCTAGCTGGAGAACACGCTTTCAGCCCAGGTTCCCCACTCCAAAGCCTTGTCTCCCACCCCTCCTCTCACCCATGGCCGCACTTTCTCCATAAGGAAACTGGAGGTTCCTTAGAGGCCTGCAGGGAGGGCCAGAGACTCTGAGCAGCGTGGTGTGTGGCCGCTGTGTGTGGCGCTCCCACCAGCAGAAATGAATACCTTCAGGCTCATCTTGATTGCACCCAGAGCCTGTGACCTTCCTCAGAGAATCAGGGACGTGCATCTTGAATGGAGGCTTTAAGTGTTTGCCAAGTCATAATGAGTTTCTTTTTTCTATCATGAGGTCCATTTAAATTAATATTTTAAAAACAAAATTTATTTCTTTTTGAATAATTAATACATTCCTGTGGCTGAACTTTCAAAGGGAACAAATGAATGTAAAGTGAAGGGTTTCCTTTCCATTTCTGTCCTCCAGCCACTTTGCTCCCTCCCTGGAGGCAACTGATGCTACCAGTTTTTTGTGTCTTTTCCAAGGTTTGTGACTAATCTACACACATAGAGACACACACAGATGCACACACACACAGAGACACTTCTTTCTTACATAAATTGTTGCATATTTTACAAAAAGTTCTGTACCTTGCTCTTTGTACTTAGTATATGTTGGAGATCTTTCCACATCAGAATCTACAAACCTGCCTCTATTTTAATGTCTGCATAATGTCCCACCATATGGATGTAGCATAATTTATTTAAATAGTAACTAATTAATGGACACTTGAGTTGTCTCAACCACTGGCTACTGCAGTGAACAATCTTTGTACTAGCATGATTGAGCTATGAAAGTCATTGACCCTGGAATTCTCCAGGAAGATCTAGAAAGGGAAGAAAAATTAGTGGAAAGTTTGAAACAAGTCAGAAAGAGTGGATAGGGCTCTGGACTAGAAGCCAAGAGATCTAACTCCTAAAAGTAACTTTAAAAAGGCCCCCCCTCAAGTTCCTAGCTTCCCACAATTTATAAAACAATTTAATATCTGTTAGCTCATTGAGTCTTTAGGAAAAAAATAACCATAAAAGGCTAAGATGTTTCACCAACTGCTTGACAAGCAATGGGGAAAGAATTCTCTGTTTAATAAATGGTGTTGGGAAAACTGGCTAGCCATGTGCAGAAAGCAGAAACTGGACCGTTTCTGGACACCTTACTCTAAAATTAACACCAGATGGATTAAAGACTTAAACATAAGGCGTAACACCATAAAAACCCTAGAAGAAAACTTAGGCAAAACCATTCAGGACATAGGCATGGGCAAGGACTTCATAACTAAAACACCAAAAGCATTGGCAAAAAAAGCCAAAATAGACAAATGGAATCCAATTAAACTTAAGAGTTTCAGCACAGCAAAAGAAACAATCATTAGAGTGAACCAGCAACCAACAGAATGGGGAAAAATTTTTGCAATCTACCCATCTGACAAAGGGCTAATATCCAGAATCTACAAAGAACTAAAACAGATTTACAAGAAGAAAACAAACAACCCCATTCAAAAGTGGGTGAAGGATATGAACAGACACTTTTCAAAAGAAGACATTTACGAGTCCAAGAAACATATGAAAAAATGCTCATCATCACTGGTCATTAGAGAAATGCAAATCAAAACCACACTGAGATATGATCTCATGCCAGTTAGAATGGCAATCATTAAAAAATCTGGAGACAACAGATGCTGGAGAGGATGTGGAGAAATAGGAACAGTTTTACACTGTTGGTGGGAGTGTAAATTAGTTCAACCATTGTGGAAGACAGTGTGGCGATTCCTCAAGGACCTAGAAATAGAAATTCCATTTGACCCAGCAATCCCATTACTGGGTATATACCCAAAGGATTATAAATCTTTCTGTTATAAAGACACATGCACACGTATGTTTATAACAGCGCTGTTTACAATAGCAAAGACCTGGAACCAACCCAAATGCCCATCGATGATAGACTGGACAAGGAAAATGTGGTACATATACACCATGGAATATTATGCAGCCATAAAAATCGATGAGTTTGTGTCCTTTATAGGGACATGGCTGAACCTGGAAACCATAATTCTCAGCAAACTGATGCAAGAACAGAAAATCAAACACCGTTCTCACTCATAGGCGGGTGTTGAACAATGAGAACACATGGACACAGGGAGGGGAGCATCACACACTCAGGTCTGTTGGAGGGAAATAGGGAGGAACAGTGGTAGGTGGGGAGGTTGGGGAGGGATAACATGGGGAGAAATGCCTAATGTAGGTGACGGGGGGATGGAGGCAGCAAACCACATTGTCATGCAACAATGGTAGGTACCTATGCAGCAATCCTGCATGTTCTGAACATGTACCCCAGAACCTAAAGTGCAAATGTATATATATATATATATAATATTTGCTTTATTGCAGTGGTAGAAGCAGACTTGCAATATCTTCAGCGTATGCCTATATATGATAAAGACTGCATATTATAGTATTGTGTAAAGTAGGCACTATTGTATGAATGGGATTGGGACAACTGAATTGCCATGTGAAATAAAATAAATAAATAAAATACTGTAAGAAAAAGTAAGGATAATAAGAGTACCTATCTTTTTGGGTCATTTTGAGAATTAAATTAGCTACTCATGTAAACTACTTAGAAAAGGGTCTATCCTATAGTAACAGTTCAATAAATACGAGCTTTTAATATCACTTTGCAAAAGTAAGAAAAGATAACACAGAGCAATAGCGTTCAAAGTCCCCTAGCTCCTGAAGGATAGAGCTGGTGCAGGAATCCAGGCCCCTTGGCCTCCAAACAAGTCAGATTTGAACCACAAAGTCTTAGGCATGTGTTTATAAAACAGCGATGGCAGTCCTGACACAGAGCTGTTAATAATAATTATTGCCAATTCCCTGATCTTGTTTGGGGGGATTGGTCCAGCCATACACTTAGTACTGTAGTCCATCAAATCTAAGATGCCGTTGGGTCTAAGAAGTATTGTTGTTTTGTGAGCCACTGGAAAGGAAAGGAAATAAGGAAGGGAGGGGAAGGAAGGAGCCAACTGAACTTGTAGGATGCTATACTAGTTGTCGAGCTGCTGTCTCTCAGCTCCACACTTACCCTTCTGGGCGCTCTCTCTCTCTCTGATGCTGGGGCTAGGACCTGCACCCCTATTTGTCCTATGCCAATAGGGGCACTGGAGGAGAGAGAAGGGACTTGCTTTTTCATGTTTGTCTGAATTTCCTGCCAGTCCCAGTGATGACACTGGCAGTTGATTCCAGCCTCCAACTTTTATCCACTTCCAGAACCAGAATCATGCTGCCCCTCAAAGGAAACAGTACCAGTGGGCAGTGCCCATTCTCAGAGGTCTTTGGGGCCCTCCTCCAGGCCCCTGAGGTGTCAGTACCACATAAGAAACACCCCCTCTTCAGAGGCCTTCCTTTTTGATATCTCAGTTCTTCAATATCTGCTTAACCAATTCCCTATGTTAAATTCTTTCCATTAAAATACCTAGAGTGCTTTCCATTTTCCTGCCTGAACCCTGACTCAAGAATTATAAGATGCATATTGATTTCAGAATGTTAAATAAAAGTCTTAGATTTAATGCAATAAAATACGACAGAGAACTCACAGATGTCAAGGCTGATGGTGCCTTTGGAAGTGACCTAGTAGACCCCAGGGCTGAACCCAGGGGGATGAAGTGCCTTGCTCAAGGTCACACAGCCAGAGGTGGCAAGGCCAGCGCTCCCCACACTATACCTGAGTCTTACTCTACTCATCCTTCAGAAGGGCCTGGCCCCTGCTCCTGGGATGGACGGTTCTGTGACATGCCTCATGGTGAGATGTCTTCATCAAATCTCTCCTTTCTTTCCAGGAAGCACACTTTGCTGGCCAATAATGGGTTTGCAATTTCTGCTGCATTGCTGATGGCCTGCTCGCTCCAGGCAGGAGTCTTTGAAATGCTCATCGTGGGACGCTTCATCATGGGCATAAATGGAGGTGAGAGTTCACCCCGACAGGAACAGTAACATATTCCTTGGGGGTGTCCCAAAAGGTGAGAGGTGTTTGGGGCAGTCACATGGCTGGAGCTCTCTGCTGATAGTGAGTTGTCAGGGACCGAGAATGCTAGAAGTCTGCATAAAGTGGGACAGTCCTGTGGGATGAGCCATCCAATTCATGATGCTCTAGCCCCTAATTGAGGAATGTTGGGCAGGGTCCCCAGTATACCCTAAAGACCTGGGAGGTCTTCAGTATGTCATGTCTTCTGCTTGGTCACCTTCATCACAATGTTCATATTCCAAGGTTATCTGTGGTTTTCAGGGGGCTTTTATGAGGATGGTGTTTCTTCTCTGGGCCTCCAGCTCATTTGTTGCTTCATTTACTCGCCAAGTGTTTGTGGAACACCTGCAAGGGCTGGCATGCTCTAGATGGAGACACAATGATTAACAAGACTCTGTCCCTGGAGCCTACGTTCTAGTGAGCAGGCAGATACATAAAGTAGATAGTAGCAGGTCCTAGGAAGAAAACAAAGCAGGGCACGGGGGTGGTGAGGGCTGTTTTAGAAAGGCCAATCAGGGAAGACTGCTCAGAGGAGGAAGTATGAGCAGAGACCAGAGGAGCCGAGGGTGAGAACTGTTCCCAGCAGAGAGAAGAGTGTGATGACAGCTTAGAGGTGGAAGGGGGCATGGCATGTCTGAGAAAGAGCCAGGAGATGTGTGGGTGCTTATGAGGGCAAAGAGGAGCGGGGGCCAGATCACACAAGCCCTTGCAGGCCATGGTGAGGACCGTGGGCCTGTGCAGAGTGTTCAGGGAGGGTTGAGAGGAATGTGGCATGGGCTGGTTTGTTCCAATAAGGGAATGTGAGGGGAAGCCAGGAGTGGAATCAGAGGAGCCAGCTGTTCAGGGAAGGGACTGGGCTGGGTAGGGAACTGGGGAGAAGGGGACAGATCCTGGCTGTAGGAGTGAGAGTAGGAGACTTAAGATACATTGTCAGACAAGCTCTGCTCTCTTTCTAAATAGGCAAATCCATAAAGTATCACTGTTAGGGATTTGTGGAAAGATTGCAAGCTTTAGAATTAGAGAGCCCTGAGTTTGGATCTCAGTTCTGTCTGCTGCTTGCCAATTTCTGATTTGTGTAAGTTACTTAATGTCTCTGAGTCTTGGTTTCTTTTCTTCTCTATTTGTAAAATAGAGATAGTAATCCCTGCTTTGATCCGGCTGAAGAGAATAAATACCAATGTTGGTAAATAAATAAATAAATAATCCCTACTTTGAAAGGCTATACGTTATCAGGCTGAACTGAATCTCTTTCTCTCTCTCTCTACACACACACACACACACACACACACACACACACACACACACACACA